TGTGATTTATTTTCACAACTGTAAAACGGGGGACACATGCATATGAGTTGCTTCTAGCTTTGCCTGGTACACATGAGCTTGTAGTAGATAAAGGCTCTCATCACAAGAGACTAATGTTTTATGGTATTATTAACGCCATTACTACATCTACGGCATCCAGCCCCTAGAATAGGTAGAGCCCATGCATGATGGAAAGATAGCACTACAGGAAGCTCTGACAAGCCATGCCTTGCTGGATTTTGAGGAGGCAGTGGGTGATCAGCAGATGGAGCATGATTCTGTCTCTGTCTTGTTCAGCCTAATGTTTCCCCCTCCCTGCAGCCTCCAGGTGGAGTAATGAGACAGCAAAGGAGATGAGGTTCCTCCTCTTGGGTGCTGTTCCTCCTGTGCCATTTCCACTCTTTTACAGAGTTGAGATTGACTGGAAGATCTTCATTCACAATTGCTCTTCTAGGCTGTGACTTTTTGTTTCTCCTTACGGTTCGTTAGGATTACGGGTGTACGGTTATTAGACTCACTACTGGGAGAAAGGAATCAACCATTGCATGTACTCCACAGAGCTTTTTACTACCGTGTAAAACTGGTTTATTAGGACAACAGTTATCATCTGTGGACTTCCACGCACAAGTATAAACAGATGTCAGAAATCAGAAAAAGAGCCACGGAGTCTAAGGTCAAGGCTGCTGTTGTGTGAAAAACTGTTCTCCCTGCAGAAGGAAAAGACCCTCATGTGGGTTCCCTAAGTAGACCTCAAAGAAACCACAGAGAAGCTGTCAGATAATATGGAGATGTTGCAAATAAATCAAATGCGCTCTGGCTTGAGCTGGAGGATGGGAATTTAATAATGTCTCCCACATTATTTGGAGGTACAGCTAGCCTTGAAAACAGCCAACTGAAATTATAATTATCAGTTATGAATAACTGTTAACTATTAAGGCTTTTCCTCCCATCCTGTATTAAGCTGAAACTTCACTATCTGTAATGATTGTCTCTCTCTCTCTTTTTTTTTTTTTTTTTTGTTATTCTATTTTAAAAGTTTAAAAAATAAATAAAACACGGTCTTACCACTGTTGTGGATATAAATTTGTTTTTGTTTTGGTCCCAGGTGTGGGATGTGGGACTGATTCAGATGGTCTACAGCAGCAGACTATTTGCTTCATGTGGGCTCTAAGAGGAGCTCTTTGCCAGCTGCAGATACTTTGAATCTGAGGATTCTGGAGAGAGAATGCCAGAGCCCAGAGAGTATGGAGGGTCAGAAAAAACAAAAACAAAAACAAACAAACAAACAAACAAAAAAACAAAAACAAGGCTGCTCCTGCTTCCCCCTTGCTGTTCCTGGTTGCTTTTGTAAAACAAGAAGTTGAAGATCTCCTGAAATGAGGATTGGACTGGCTCCAAGGAACCCAACGACCCTAACCAGCAGGAAGCAACTAAGAGAACTGTGTCTTCTCTCCCACTAGCCCTTTCTCTCTCCTACCTACTGTTGCCATGTTGGAAGGGACTGGGGTGGAGTAGGGAGAAAGAGACATAAGAAATGTAAATAAGAGAGTTTGAAAAAGTACGCCTACATACCATGTTTGCTTTTGAGATTTGTCTGTATTTTGTGTGTATGAGTATTTTGTCTGCATGTATGCATGTGTACTCCATGCATTACTAGTGCCTGGAGAGCCCCAAAGAGGAGATACAGAATGTTGTAAGCTGTTACGTGGGCACTGGCAGTAAGTGCTCTGAGCCGCTGAGCCATTTCTCCAGCTCCTGGTCTGGACAGTAGACAGATTTTTCTTCCATATTATTAAGTTCTCCCCCTTGAAGACACTTCTGTGCTACAGTGGAACAGAAGAAGTCATTTCTACGGTCTGCTTCTTTGAAGGGAAAATGATTTGTCTCTAAGATAGGAGAAAGAGGTCTCCGATCATGCAGGTCCATGTACTTTGATGAATGGAGTCACTTGATTATGACTATTTTGTGGATAACATAGACTCAAACACACATTAGCAGAAACAATCGTTTCTTCCCTTAATGCATGAAACATCTTTTTCTTTTCACTGAACAGAAAAGACAAGGCCAGATGTCCAGTAAGATGCTATTATCATGAGACGAAATTTAAACTACAAATAGAAAAAAGCGGGTGCCCTCAGCTACTCTTTCCATTTAGTCCATGTTAGGCACTCCCAACTTGGCAATGCAGGAAGCTACTCCAGGAGGTGCCTGCCTCCTGGATCCGCTGACTGTCATCCTGAGACCTTGCAATCTTTTTCAACTCCTTTCCCTCACATTATTGTGCACCCTGGCCTTTTCTCTTGTGTGGCAAGCTTCCCTTTGCCACCTCCCTAGTTTATGCCTCTCCTTTCTTTTTCAAAGTCACTTTGCCAGTTTTCTTCAAGATAACTTGAGTAGCAATTAGGGCTACTCATTGCTTCTTAAAAAAACACGTATGTTTCTTAGGTGGATGGCTTTAGCATCTCCAAACTCAATGATACCTAAAATGTTTACACATTTACAGATCTAAGTTAGGTCCTGTTAATTAAGTAATCCTGGTGTCTCTTCTAAAAGACCTCAGACAGTGATGTTTTGTGGAATCTCCTGGGTTTGTACAGCCTTGCTCCTTAGTGGGGGTCAAATTCCACCAAGTCCTCATGGACCACCTTGCCTGCAGTGAAAATGTTTTTTTCTTTGTGACTGTCAAATAGTGCTTCTTTCACGGGGAGCATGGATATGACTCATGTGGGCATAGATATGACTCATGTGGGCATCTCTTACTACTCATTTTCTGACTTAGGAGGTTTGGGTGGGATCTTAGAGGCTACATCTCCAACAGATTCCCAAGGGACGCTGACGCCGGTTCAGGGAAATGCTGCCAGGGCACCTCTCAGCAGCTCTGATTCATGACACACAGGCTCACCACCAAAGCTCTCCCCGCACTGAGGTGATGAACTCGTAAATCAACTCTCAAACAATTCCCGAATTAACACGAGGCGAGGAGCTTCCAGCGGTCCTTTTTGCCTCTCCAGCTGTACTTGAAACTTTCTCGTCTGCAAATAATTCTGCTGCTAATTACTGTCAATCAGCAATCGGTTACTGTTAACTTTTTCACCATATCACTTCACATGCGTCTACTCCATGCATTTGCTCATCCAAATGGAACCTTCTTGTGCAACAGCAGTCAGTTTTTCTCTAATTGCATTCCAAAACTCTGTGTGTGTATGTGTGCATTAGAGAACAGTTTTCAGGAGTCGGTTCTCTGCTGCTACCACACGAACCCTGGAGATGGGTCTGAGGACATCAGGCTTGGCAGGCAGTGCTTCTACCCACTCCACTCAGCCATCTTACCAAGCCATCTGATTTTACCTTTTTAACTTCCTTATTAAAAAATATGTAACTTTAAACGTTTTGCTGCTTTTGGACTTATTAGACCTGATTAAGGGTACTCATAAAAACATCTTAAAATACGACATGAACATGAGAATAAACAGTGTCAGTTAAGATAGAAATAATTGGTCTGCACTTTGTGAAACTGTTTTTTTTTTTTTTTTTAATATAACTTGAAAATAGTTCTTGCATGTTTTGGTGCTAGGTTAAAATTCCTGAGTTAGAATTACCTTAGTAAATTCATAGCTTATAGTAGAGGAGTTCTTTCAATCGAATGAAATAAAAATAGACTTAATAGCTCCGGTATCAGTGTTTTCCAAATGGACTACGTTTTATATTACCTATGATCACTCACTTTGCAGCAGCTGCTGTTCTGACTAGAACAGACTCAAAAAAGGCGGCACTGCATATTCTTAACTCAAGTGACTCGGAAATGGTATTTTTCTCACACAACCAAGTGTTCAAGCATATGAACCTGAAGGGAACAACTTATATCCAAACCCCAGCAGGAAGCTAACTCGGTTTTATTTTGATATGGCTAATGAAACATATGCCTCATAATCATAGGGAAGTGAACCTCTGATGAAACCTTGCCCATCTAGTCATGGTGATGAGGATGTCACCCTGGTAGCCGGTTCTACAGCTAAGGAATCCTTGTTTTGGAAGTCTGCCCCCCCCCCCCCAAAAAAAAAAAAGGAAAGCAGGACTAAACACTCAGCCTCCTAGCTCGGTAGTTAGCACCATTCCCTCTGCTCCCTAGAAAAGGCTTGGAGTGTTTATGATCACCTTTTCCTCAGAGAAGACAACAGTAAGGGCTGGGGATGTAGCTCAGTGGTAGAGTGTTTGCCTAGCTTGCCACAAAGGATGCTTGAGATATCCCGTGGACACACGCTGAAACAACTGAAGGGGAAGGGGGCAAGGCTGAAAATAGAGATGTAGGTATCATCGGTCCTTGTAGAAACTACAATGATGGCTGGGACAGCCCGGGGGGGGGGGGGCACATGCAGAGAAGAGGAGACTGTGAGTGTAGTCTGGTAAGCAGCAGGAATGAGGAAGATAGAGACTAGCAATTGCACTGTGGACAACTGAAAGGTTGAGAAAAGATTGGCACAGAGAAGGAATAAGGAAGGTTGGCTCGGCGGTGTAGCCTTAGTATGCAAGATACTATGTTCCATCCCAGCACGGGCGCAGGGGAAGGGTAACAAATGGCTTTGGCAACATGGAAGTGTGAAGGGCACAGACATTTGGTGGGGTCGGTTAAAAATCTAGAGTGTGAAAAGTAAGGGTATGGAGACAGGTGATCATCACTGCCAAATCCCAACACCGAGGAACAAATCCTAGACACAGTGTTACAGGGAGCCGAGAGATTCCCGGCAGCGATCTTGGTACCCTTGAAAGCCAACCCCTTCACTAAAGGGCTCAGGGACTGAAATCACCTTTCCAGGATGCACTTGCGCTGCAGAGTTACAACCGCGGAGGAGGCCGGGCTGGGCTAGAAGCTGGGGGCTGGCCTCCCGCCCTGAGCGCGGAGAGGGCGAGCGCGTCCGCGAAGGCCCGCCCCCTCGGCGCAGCGGGAGCCTAGCCTGCGCGCCGCACTGCGGCTGCGCGGGCCGGGCGCGCCGAGGGGGCGGGGACGCGGAAGGCGCGGCGGGCTGCGGCGTGAGGCGAGAGGCTGCTGAGGGGCGGGGGCGGCCGACGGCGTGGGAGGCCGCGGCGACGCGAGGCCCGAAGGGAGGGGACGCGATGCTGGAGACCCTGCGCGAGCGGCTGCTGAGCGTGCAGCAGGATTTCACCTCCGGGTGAGTACGCGGTGGGCGACCGAAAGGGCCGCGGGGGCGCGGGGCTGCGAGGAGACAACGAACTTCCCAGCGTCCCGGCGGCGGCACCGAGCCACTTTGCTCCCGGAGGGCGGGATGCCCTCCTGCCCCGTCGCGGGACAGCGCTGCTCGACCGGCCTGGACGGTCACGTGAGAGGCTGCGTCCTCCGCACTGGTCGCCCGCGGGCCTACCCGGGGCAGGACCCACCCGGGACGCTCCTCACCCTTCAGTTCCAGCCCCGACACCCGACCGGTCGGCCCGAGCCTCGGCCGCCGGGCTGGCCCTCCCCTTCTCCAGCCTTCTCTGTCTTTGCCCTGCTTTAACGCCCTCATGGAGGAGCTGGGCCAGGGGAACAGAACTGGAGCGAAGCTGTGTGTACCCGGAGTTGCCCAAACTTTGGACGCCCCGGGGAACCTTTCGCAATCTCCTAGCTCTGGCCTCTCAGAGTTTCCGTTAAGCCGTCCTGTCAAGGGATGGGGGTCATTAAAGGATCCCCAGGTGATTGCGATGTGCTACAAAGTCTGGGAACTTCAATGGGTGCCAGGCTGCCTAATCACTCGGGCCGGATTTTACCACTGAACTTGACTGCAAGTTATCCAGGCTCTTGTCTCCGCTTCCGCGACTGTAAGATGATAGTGATGGTGCGTATAGAGTTATTGGGACTCTTACTGACTGTGTTAAAGAGGCAGTAAGCACTGTTTGTATGGTTTTTAGTATTTAATTCATTTACAGCTTTTATTACTTTACGGAAAGTGTCACCTTTATAAAAGATCTGCTATCCCTTTGTTTTTGTTTTGAGATAGTGTCTAACACTATAGCCCAGATTGGACTTGAACTGGTGGGAATACTCTTGCTTCAGCTTCCCCAGTGCTGGGATTCCAGCCATCTACCACCATACCCTACTGGTCCATGTGTTTGGAGAGTGTTCCTAATGTGAGGGCACCTTGGTCATGATGCTACGTTAATAATTAATGGGAAAAATGTTAGCTGATCTCTCCTCTCCTGAAACAGAAATGTTTATTCTGTTTGCCTGTTGAATAGTAACAAACTGGCAAATACTTGAAAGCTTCCAATGTATAGCATTGTAAAAGCATTACTGATAATTTTAGTTTCGTATTCTCGTCAATATTAATTATGGGTGCTGAAGGAATAATCCAGTGATAAGTGTTATTTCATGGTTTCATTTTTTAAACTATAAATTTAGGAAAAGTAACTGTCTTTTTTGAATGTAAACTTAAAAAAAAATACCATGGTGTATTGCTATAGTAGCCTGCTTGTAGCATGAGAGTAGCCATGACTAAAACTAACTTGAATGCCCTTCTGTTACCACTTCAAGGAATTCTTTGACTGCTTAGCAGTCCCTTTTGGTAGATCACATGGTTGTTTCAGAGCCCATTACTGTGCCCGATGTCTGCTTAGAAGGCTTCTTGCTTAGGAATGTGGACTCTGGACTGCACACTCTCACACAGTCTTCAGAGATCTAGATAGCTTAAAAGGTTTAGAATTTAGTTAGGGACAGGAGCTGGGACCCCTTTGGAAATCTGCCATAGCCTGGGACCGGTTTAGAGTTAGACCTCCTGGGAAAGTTTTGTTCCGTGTAAGTTCCTAAGCCTCCGTTAACTTTCTGCACAGGTTCCTTAGCTGACATGATCCTGTTACCTGGCAGGGAAATAACACTCTTTAAATTATGTGTGTGTTGACAGTGAAAAGGCAGCCCTGACCACTGATAGTAACTTTGGTCCTCAGTTTCCTATACAGTTTTTATTGAGGGAACAACAAAACAAACAAAATATTTGTCTTTCTAACTCTTACATATTCCTGCTTGAGAGCTACCTAGTCCGTTTTACATACTTGACCATTTTGGCCTTGTCTAAGAAATTAAACACAGTACACGTTCTGTTGTAACAGACAGTGAGGGCTTTAGCCGAGCCATTGGAGTCACCTCCCAAGACTGTCAGATTGGACCTGGTGTCCCTGTAGGACCCTTGGTAGATAAGGCCAGTGTTCGGCAGGCACAGCAGCTGCCTTCTAAAACAGTTTCAAGTGTTTGCTCAAGTTGCAGTCGGTAGGTTTCTAGGTCTGGTGTGTGCGGTATCACTCCTAACAGCTGGCAGGAGTGGTGACTCTCAGGTTTTTGCTCGTTTCAGTTTCTGAAAATGTATGTAGCTGGAGTCTTGACTCCAGGGAAATTTCCTTCACAATTTCTTATCCATGTGTATGTTGGTGTGTTTGTGTATGTATATCATGTATGTGCAGGTACATGCAGAGGAGAGATGAGGGCATGGGATCCCCCTAGAACTGGAGTAACAGGCAGCTGTGAGCTGGGAATCAACTTGAATCCTTTGGAAGAACTAGTCTCCTTAACTGCTGAGGCATCTGTCCACCCTCTTCCCTGAAATAGGACCATTTTATTGTTCTCCTAAGTGAATTACAGCTCAGGGACTAAATCATGTCCGGCGATGTCCTATGTGACCCCTCTGAGCCAGGAAGCTGCCATCTTGGAGAATTCAGCCGCTTCCCAAGTGCAAAAGAGTGATCCCAGCTGAGCATGCTGACTATTGAGGACCCCTCCTCACCTGAGTGTCCAGCTGCTCTCCCACACCTGCTGTATTCAGTACTGCACACAGCCTCCAGAGGGGCTGCCTGGGGGTGACAGAGGAGCTGAGCTCACTTCCTGGGCTACAGGTGCCCACGCACCATACAGAAAGCCTCACTGTGCTCCGGAAGGGAGCTCAGTAAATTCACTGGTTCCCCGAAGTGGACTTTGTAAATACTGTGTCTTGGTTTGTTACTAGTACCCCAGGGGCAAGAAAAGGTCTCCCCAAGGAAAGGAATTTTAGCTTTAGCTACAAGAGACCTCAATATCTACCCTCCTTTAGACTTAGTGGGAAATGCAATGTACAGTCATGATTGTTACAGGACAAGATGGAGATTATAGACCCAGGTTGTCCTTAGACTTCTGGCCTCTTTTTTTCAGTGGGACGAAAACCTGGTGCCCCACATGCTGGGTAGGTGCTTTATGCCTGAGCTCCATTCCCTGCTCCTTGTGGCCTTTTCTCTTAAACTTTTTTAAAATTTATTTGATTTTTATTTTATGTGCACTAGTGTGAAGGTGCCAGATCCCTTGGAATTGGTGTTACAGACAGTTGTGAGCTGCCATGTGGGTGCTGGTAATTGAACCCAGGTCCTTTGGAAGAGCAGACAGTGCTCTTAACCACTGAACCATCTCTTCAGCCCCGTCTTAAATTTTTATCCATGGTACCAGCACAAACCTAGTGTTGTGACTCTGTCATGTTCTTTTCCCCTAGGGTAGTAGGCAAACCCAAAAGTCTTGGAAGTGGGGGACATTGGCTCTGGGTCTTATGTAGAGTTCTTTTTCCTGAGTTTTGGTTCATTTGACTTGGTTCTTGGGAGCCATTTTAGGGGGTTCCTGTAGAACAGGTTTTTGTTTTGTTTTGTTTTTTTGTTTTGTTTTGTTTTCCTTGAGAGGCTGGATTGGCTGTGCTCTGAAAAACCACTAAAAGTACATACTTCTCTGTTTTATTTTGTTTTAAAATTTTGAGCAGTTATGAACAAAAGCATAGGTATTAATGCTCTTCAGGGAATTGAAGCTCAAATTTCTTGAAGGTTTATAACTATATTACAGGCTTGTGTTTCCTATTTGTCATGCTTTCAAAGGCACTATAGCCCTTTTCTTTTCTTGTTCAGTATCTTTATTCTCTTCTCCTCTTCAATTGTTTTAAACTGTGCAAAAAAAGAATATCTAATAATTTAATTTATAGTGTAGTCAATAGGCAAAGGTTGTCTTTTCTAGGATTTTTTTTCATTTCCTTATTTTTTAGGCTCTGGGAATGGAACCTAGGACCTTGTGGCAGGCAGGCAGTGTGTTATGAAGTTACTCCCTCAGCTGGCAGGCTCCTTTTTTCCTCCTCCCTCCCTCTGAATGTAAGTGGCCTGTGTGTGTGTGTGCAGGTACATGCACCCATGTGTGTGGAGACAGTAGTGCCAGGGGCCTTCCTCTTTTGCTCTCCAGTTTCAGGTTCTTTAAGACTTACTTTGTTGTAAGTGTGTGAGTGTTGGTCTGCATGTGTATATGTGTGATGTGCCCTTTTTTTGTCACAAATGCTTTAAAAAGGCACGAGAGGCCGTATGCTCAGTTTTGCATAGTATATACCAAGAAGTGTTTGAATATCAGGTTGGGTCTTGCAGCCACCAAAGTTACAGAAGCAAAGCCTGATGAGCTGAATGTTAAAAGACCTGAGTGATGTGCTATGCGAACTCAGAGGAACAAGTCCTTGCTTAGGGTACATCTACTGAAGGCTTCTAAGTTGGGCATTGAAGAATAAGGATGGACTGTTAGGTTTCAGTAGGGGTACTGGAGACGTGGAAGCCCTTATAGGAGGTGTAGCTGAGAAGGAAGTTCGCACTTTGCTTAATCTATCAAACATTTGTCCCATGCTTACTTTGTGTCAGGCCCTATTTTAGGCATGGGGGCTATAGCATGGAACACCTAGACAAGTAAGGACACTACTTTCATCCTAGTGGGAGTAGACAGAATATTTAGACTGTTGCAGCTGTTGTGCTACAGATTGAGGGATAGGCCCACATGGATTTCTGTGTTTGGGATTAGGGATGGGCAGCAGAGAAGTTACATTTGTTAAGTGGCATATACCAACATAAAGGAGGAAGAAAAAATTGGAGGGAAAAGGAGCAGTGGACAGTGATCTCATGAAGCAGCCCTTGATGTCCAAGAAGCTGTTGGAAACTGAAGTTACCCTCAGGAGAGGGGTCAGACTGAAGTAGTGTGTGATTCGTTAGGGAAAAGTTGGTTTGAAAATAATTTTCCTTTTCTGAGTTTGTGCCACTTTGGGTGAATTTCTCAGGCTGCCAAGTTTAAGGGGTCATATATACTTTAAAGTGTGATGGTTTTTCTTTGAGATCCACCCCCTGTGTGTGTGTATGCATGTGTCTGTCTGTTTCTAGCTCTCTGTGCAACACACAGAATTTGATATGTAAAAATATAATAGGTTTGATTTTGATTTGTGAACAGAATTCAAAGGTGGAATAACAAAAGGTTGAATATGGTTTAAATAATTGGCAGGTTTTGTAGTTTTTCAAAGCAAACATCGCTTTTCTGCTAACTGATGATGTAGACGATGTGGACTTGGTGGGCACGCAATTGAAATGCTGTCCACGCAACCCCATGCAGTTGAGCCAGCTAGCGTATCTGTGTGTCTGTCACCATAGTTCACTGCAGAGTGCCACATGACTCTCTTCTTCCTCTTTTTACACTTTTTGTCTAAGCAGTTTTAAAAATTACTTCAATTTCATAGTGAGAAGCCTGCATTTTAGCATCTTCAAAACTTGAAGAAACAAATGTGCTAGTGTCAAGTTAACATATCTGGAGCCTCCGAAAAATAAAATTACTGAATGATTGTAGCACATTTGAGGTTCAGTGCGTGAGCTGGAAAGTGTGCTTTAGTTTATTTAGTCGGAAAGTCCACGTATCAGTATACTTTCAGCACTTGCGCCAGCTTGAGAATGTGTGCTTTAGAAAGAAGACAGAATAGGGTGGGAAACCCTTTCGTAGGAGCTGGTACATTGGGAAGTTCTGTGATATTTCACCCTGGATCACGCATGTGCATTGCTTCTCTCTCTCTCTCTCTCAATTTTCTCTCTCTCTCTCTCTCTCTCTCTCTCTGTGTGTGTGTGTGTGTGTGTGTGTTCAAATGGAGACCAGAGGCCATGCTGGTTTTGTTTGTTTTTCTTTAATCGCTTTCTAGCTTGCTTTGTGTTTTGAGCTAGGCCTTCTCTTTGAGCCTGGGGCTCATCAATTTCACTAGGCTGGTTGGCCTGTGGGCTCCAGGGAGCTGCCCATCTCTGCTTCCACATGCTGGAATTACAGGTGCTGCCTTGGCTTTTACACAGATTGTAGAGATCTGAACTCAGGCCCTCAGGCTTATCCTGATGGAGCTTTGCCAACTAGGCCATCTCATCTCTACTTTTCAACTTTCTGGATAGTAATAAACTTGTTTCCATCAAGTAATAATCATACTTTTCATTTGAGTTAGACCCGAAGTTTCTCCTGTTGCCCCCCCATCATATTATAAATTTTATTTAATTCTTATAAAGTATATGTGGTTGGATAAAATACTAGTATTTTATATTTGAGGAAACTTGGGAATTCACCTGGGTCAGTATTTCTTTCCCAGTATCCATGGACAGTGGGGAATATGAATAGACTTTATTAAGTTCACAGCTCAGAGTTTGTGTGAAGAATTAAGTTGTCTTCATATGGAAATGCTGGACTACCTCGATTTCTTCCCAGCCTAAAGGATGTTCTTAGAGAGGAACCAGTTGCCTTTCTTTTTAAAAAAAAAAAAAAAAAGGAAAAAAATGTATATATTCAATTCTATACTTTATCTAAAAATAAGAATAATAGGGAGGCGAGGCGCGCCTGGACTCATGCTTAACATGGCCACGCTGCGCAGGCTGCAAGAGGCGCCCCGGCACTTACTGGTCTGTGAGAAATCAAACTTCAGCCACGACAAGTCTCGCCATAAGCATCTTGTGGAGACGCACTATCATAATTACAGGGTTTCCTTTCTTATTCCTATTACTCTGTGAAGAACTTACCTCTCCATGAATTCATTACACATGAATTCATCAACACCTTTGCAAAGAAAGGTTCATTCTCTGCATTAACATACAATACAAGGATTGATGAAGATAATACTGTTGCTCTACTACCGAATGGAAAATGAATTTTATCGCTGGATAAAGATACTTATGAAGAAACTGGACTTCAGGGTTATCCTCGGTATTCTGGCAGAAAACTTATGAAGTTTATAATTTCCTTTGATTTAATGGATTTATCCCTTAACCTGAATTCTAAGAAGTATGAAAGAATGTCTTAGTCCTTCAAAGAAAAGAAGCCTTTGAAGTTTGATTTTCTTTTGGCTTGGCATCATACAGGTGCAGAAGAATCAATGGTGATGTCCTAGTTTTCCAAATACCAAATTCAGGAGCACCAGCCAAAAATGTCATTGAGCACAGTGAGAGAGCTACAGTGTCCGGTGCTGCAGAGCAGTGCGCTTGCAGGGGAGCCGGAGGAGGCCTGCAGTGCCCTGGAGCTCTTTGACTGGCTTGGAGCTGTCTTCTGCAGTGCGAACCTAAATAACCAGCCTTATAATTTCATATCAACCTACTGCTGTCCCCAGCCACGCACAGTGATAGCCCAAGCCTGTCTGTATACAATCACAGGTTTCCTACTGCCAGAGAAGATACATGTCCTTCTCGAATAGCTGTGTCACTACTTTGATGAACCAAAGTTAGCTCCATGGATCACCTTGACAGTTCAAGGCTTTGCAGACAGCCCTGTTTCATGGAGAGGGAATGAACATGGTTTCCAAAAAGGAGGAGAGCACTTATACAGTTTTGTGGTTTTTAATAATCAGGACTGTTGGCTTCAGATGGCTGTCGGGGCAAATGATGACTGTCCACCATAACAAAATAAATAAATAAAAAAGCAAAATTTAAAACCGTGAAAAAAAAAAAGAAAAAGAATAATAGAGCCAGTGTGGTAGTATGCGCCTTCAGTCCTAGCACTCAGGAGACAGAGACACGTGGATATTTGTGAATTTGAGGCCAGCCTGATCTTTATAGTGAGTTCCAGGCCAGCCAGTACATTCATAGGGAGACCATATCTTTAAAAAAAAAAATCAAAAAAGACCTGGAAAAAATAGTGGTGTACCCTTCACTTTTTTCTTTGCTAAACTTTCTTAACTCTTTCTTGTCCTCTTGCATCTAATTCTACATTTTGGTACATTGATAGGTTTTGTTTTGTTTTGTTGTTGTTGTTTGTTTTTAAAACGAATGATGAGAAAATGTCATTTAAAGACTTTCTGTTGTTAGAAAAAAATTTTTGAGACAAGATCACAGGCTGGCCTTGAGCACTTAATCATCCTACCTCAGTTTCCCCAACTGCTGAGATTCCGGTCATGTGCTTCCATCTTTAGTTTAAACACATTCTTAAACAAAAGCTTCACACATACACAAAAAATAGAATAGTGATAGGAACCCCATATGTCCAGTTCTCAGTCAACAGTCTCCAGGTGTTGGCATCTTTGTCTTTCCTGTCTGTCCTACACAGATCTGCTGCAGCTCTCACGGGGCAGCTTAGTCACTAACATAGATATTACATAAATGGCTGCCACAGTCATGACTAACCAAATTAACACTGAGTCATTGATACTATCAGTTACGCAGTCCCTAATCATATTCTCTTGCTTTTTAGAAATGCCTTTTTACAGCTGATTTACCCAAACCCAGATCACATAAGTTCCACATATTGCATTTGGTTAAAGACCAATTTTTGAAACAGATGGTTGTTAAGGAGCCGCACGGGGAAGCTTTTACTGAATGTTACAGCAGTTTTATTTTCAGTTCTGTAATAATCTCTCTTTACTTTTTATCTCAAATTAGTTTTTTTTTTCTTTTATGGGTAGGCAGAAAAGTTGGTATTAAAAATATTTTATGACTATGTATTTGAGATACCAATGTAGATGCTATGAAGATGGTCTTAGCAGTACCTTCCACATTCTACTATAAACATAATCCTACTTGAGAGGGTACATTCTACTATAAACATAATCCTACTTGAGAGGGTACATAACAGTCTTAGGAGAACTCTATCTAAAGTGTCACAACTTCATGCCTTTCAGGGATTGGAGTGAAAATGGTAGAACATGGCTGTAAAAACATCCTCCGTGGCTTTTATCTGTGGAGGTGTTTTTTTTTTTTTGTTTTTTTTTTTGTTTTTTTTTTTTCCGCTTCTGGGACAGCTAGAACCCCTTATAATTTCTTACCACTAGAGAGATGTACAAATTGTTTTTTTTATCAAACCAATTGCTGATTCTTTTGAGCATTGTAATTCTGGGGATAGGTATAGGCTAAAGCCTCCGTGGGATTGAAAATCCCTTGACTTGGTAAAAATAAATTTTGTATTTGTTATTTTATAGGCTGAAGACTTTAAGTGACAAGTCAAGAGAAGCAAAAGTAAAAAGCAAGCCCAGGTAAGTTCATGCCAAGAGCTTTAGTTGTGTAACTTGAATTTCATGTAAGAGAATCATTTACAGACTTTGGGTCTGTTGGGTGTATCTCACCACAAGAAAGTTTAGATTCTTAGTAAATATTGCAGTGCATGAAAATTGTATAATTAACTTGTGAAATGATTGGAAAGTGGAAGTGAAATCATTTTATTCTAGGACAGTCAGTAGTCACTGTTGCTCACAGTTAGTATGTTAAGATCAGATTAAAAGTCCTGGATCACTGAAAAGCAAATAATAATGAAATAGAACTTGATAAGTGAGTTTCTGTAGAATCCCACTAGAGTTGTGATTTTATTGTTTTGTTTTTTGTTTTGGGGGGTTGATATGATTTTTTTTAGATTTATAATTTATACAGCTTTCTGCCTGCATGTTAGAAGAGGGCACCAGATCTCATTATAGATGGTTGTGAGCCACCATGTGGGTGCTGGAAATTGAACTCAGACCTTTAGAAGAGCAGCCAGTGCTCTTAACCTCTGAGCCATCTCTCCAGCCCCTGAGTTGTGATTTTTTTTTTAAAGTATGTGACCCAATTCAATTTCAGCTGCAAACAGTGAGCTTTGATCCAGCATATTTATTTTCTTTATCTAATAGTATATGAAAATGTTTATTGTATTATATGCTAGAGACAATCTCTGCCTGACAAAGTAAGATCGTTTTGTTGTGGTATATTCTGAAGTAATTTAGTTTCCCCAGAGTTTAAGTAAATTGTATGTTGGTGTTCTGGCTTACGCGGGACAATTGATGGAAGAAAGAGACACTGCAGGATGAGCCTAGGCTTTTCAAGCAGCAGGGATCAGCCTCTCAAGGACTAAACACTGGCACCTTCCTAGAAACGCTTTTTATTGTTCCATAAAAGGCACTTTCAGGAAGTTATTTTCCACATACCTAAAAAAACCTCTTATCTGGGCTGGACTGATGGCTCAGAGGTTAACAGTACTGGCTGCTCTTCTAAAGGTCCTGAGTTCAATTCCCAGCAACCACATGGTGGCTCACAACCATCTGTAATGAAATCTGGTGCCCTTTTCTGGTGTACAGGCAGAATACTGTACACATAATAAATAAATAAATCTTAAAGAAAAAAAAAAAAAAGAAAAACCCTCTTATTCAATCCAGAGGTTGTCTTGAGGGAACCATCACCTAAAACAAGTCTCAGCCATAGCGACTTTCTGATTTGCCAGGCATGTCTCAGGATTAAGTTACGCAAAGGCTCTGAAAATCCTTTAGAGGAACAACCCATAAAATCTCAGGAAACATCACTGACAATCACTTTACAGCTTAGGTGCCATCACTCTGGAATTCATGCCAGATACAATGGTTATACTACAATTCTGCTACAGTTGTCAGTATTTGTATGTATGTGTGTGTGTGCACACATACTAGCAGAATTTTATGTGTACCACTTGCACAAATGGCCCACAGAGGCCAGAAGAGGGTGCCAGATCCCTTGGAATTGGCATTGCAAGCAGTTGTGAGCTGCCTGAGAGGTACTGGGAACTGAACCTGAATCCTCTGCAAGAACAGCTTGAGCCATTTCTCTAGCCTCTTCATTGGTGGTTTTTATCTTTTTTAAAAAAATTATGTACATATGTGAGTGTTTTGCCCACATAAATGTTTACCATGGAAGCCAGCAGAAGGTGTTGGGTCCCCTGGGACTGGAGTTACAAACAGTTGTGAGCAGCCATGTGGGTGGTGGGAATTGAACCCAGGTCCTCTGAAAGATCAGCTGGTGCTCTTAACTGACCCACCTCTCCAGCCCCCTCATTAGTGGCTTTAAAATTATGTATGTAATAATTAACAATGCCAGAATTGTGTGTGTAACAGTTTTTAAAGTTGGGTGGATCCGCAGCAGCTCTAATAAGTGTTTTTGTTGGCAGGGCTGCACCATGCTTATCAAAGTACTCTGCTGGCCTGGAACTACTTAGCAGGTACAGTATGTTCTCTTAGAGAAGAGTTCTTTAATGTTTGCGTAAAAAACTTTACAGTTGTACAGATAGAACCTTAACACCCCTAATTTTTTTGCTAATGTAATGATTGGAGATTGTGAACTTCTTTTCCTTGAAGGCTTCTGCTTTCCCTGCTCGGTACAAAAGCCGTTCATATTTTCAACAGGTAATCACTATCATTTCCTTTATGGATGACTTCAAATTAGAGAACTCAATTTGTTTTTATTGTTAGTTTGTTTTTTGTTTTAAAGACAGGATCATACATGGCCCAGGCTAGGGTCATATATGTGTGTAGCAGATGAGCACGTTGGACTCCTGGCCCTCCTGCCTCCTGACTACTGGGATTATAGACGAGTGCCACCAAGTCTGGTCCTTGAGGTGCTGGGGATCAAGCACAGGGCTGTGTATGTTAGGAAAGCACGCTATGAATTCTCACTTTATACCACTTATTTCTCAATCCATTTCTGTTGGCATGATAATAATAAAGTGTAGCTTTTCCTATACATGAAGCAAAAGCTTAAGCAACAAAAACAATTGATAAATTAGAAATAATCAAAATTAAGCATTTTTCTTGTTGGTGGTAGTCACAAAGAACACCATCAAGAAAGCTAAACAATAGGGCGCTGGAGAAATGGTTCAGTGGTTAAGAACATTGTCTGCTCTTCCAGAGGACCTGAGTTCAATTCCCAGCACTCACATGGCTGCTTACAACTGTCTGTAATGCCCATTCCAAGGGATCTGACACCTTCACACTAACACATATAAAATAAAGTTAAACAAATTACTTTTAAAAAAGAAAGCTAAACAAATTCATAGGAAAAGAAAATATTTGCATGTTGTTTGACTAATGAAGGACTAACATCTATAGTATGTAAAGAACATTTATAACTCAATAATAAAAATATGGCCCAGTAAAGAAACAAAAGATTTGAATAGACATTTCTGAGTGAAGATACACAGATGGCCCATAAGAACATGAAAAAAATACTCAGTATTATCATCACTAAAGAAGTGCAGATAAAAACTGCAACCAAATACCTGTTCACGTGTGTTAGCACCTAGAAAGATGTACTGTGCCAAATGTGACAAGGGCCATGCCGATTAACAACTATCTCCCTGAGACAGGGTCTCTCTATGTAGCTCTGGCTGTCCTAGAACTCACTATGTAGACCAGCTGGCCTTGAACTCACAGAGATCCACCTACCTCTGCTTACTGAGTGCTAGAATTAAAGATGTGAGTCTTTACCCCCAACTCCAACAATTAACATTTTCATGCATTCTTGGTGAACATGTGAAATGATGCAGCCACTTTGGAAAATAGTTTCATAGTCTCTCAGAAATTTAGATACAAAATTATCATATAAAACAGATATTTACTCCAAGAAAATAGAAAACATACAGGGTTACCATGCCTGTAATCCAAGCACTGGGATGTTAAGGCAGGAGGGTCATGAATAAGTTCAAGGGCAGCCTACACTACATAGTGAGAGGTTTTTTTCTCTTTGTCCTTTTCTCTGTCCCACTTTTCCTCCCTCCCTCTCTTTCTCTCTCCCTCATTCTTTCTCTCCTCCCATCTTCTCCACCTCCCTGTGTGCATATTTATATCTTTATTTACATATACATAAAACTACCTGAGCCTTGAATATGTGTAGTAGTTGTATTCATAACTGAAAAGTAGAAACAACACAAATGTCCATCAATGAAATGTCCATATAATAAAGTGTTATTTGGTCACGAGAGTAAAAGACTGATCCATAGTAATCGTAGATGAAAACATGAAGGATCATGCTAAGTGAAAGGGATGGAGCACAAAAGGGCACATGCTTGTCAACCCACTGATATAAAATCTCCAGAAGCAGCAGACTGTGGGGACGTATTGTGGTTACCAGTGTCTGGTGGGAAGTGCAGGGCGGGTAGCAACGGCTGGTGGGTAGGTAGGTAGGTATGAGGCTTCTTTTTAAGAGTGATGAAAATATTTTAGCAATAATGTGGCAATTGTACAGACTTGTGTTAGAAAACCATGTCTGAATACACTAAAATGTGAATTTTATAATATGTCAACTATACCAGAAATGCCATGAAGTAAGTCTCTGTGTTTTTTATGTTGTTAGCAAAGGTCTCTAACATGAGACATGGCAGGTGTATGCAGTGGAAGATAGATAGCTACTTCGCTGATTATACATTGATGGCCTGTGTTGTTAGTTTATAACTGGATTTTTAAAATTTTTTATTTTTTTGTAGTTACTAAATCTAGAGTGCGTTTTTCCTTGTTTGAGATCAAGTGAACCGAAAAGGAAGTGTAGTGTACCGTTAGTTTATTTACATACAAACACACTTACGCTAGGGTCTTGTGCTAGGCAGCTAACACTGAACTATTTCCCAACCTGTTTTCACCCAACCTGTTTCAACCACATTAATTCCTTTATAAGTGTGTTTGCTCTTGAATATTTTGTTCTACTTTTTAAAGGCTAGCACCTGATCAAAAGGAAAAGAAATGATGGGTCAGATGCTAGCCTTTAAAATCTGCTCAAAGTCTCTTTGGCATGATCATGAGGGATTTGTAGTAGCGGCTGCCCCTGTGTCTGCACCTTCCTGATCAGAGGCAGTAAGCAGAGACCAGAGCACAGATCTCCAACTACAAGATAGGCTTCTTACTACCTGCCCTCATTCTGCATAAGCTGCTTCAAAGAGCAAGTACATGGCTACAGCTGGAGGCCCGTGGACATGGGTAGCTGGAATGCTAATAAAACCAGATTGAGCAAAATGAACGCTGCTTTCCATCCAGGCCTTCCCCTAGAATTAGCAAGCCATCAGACTGGTTTCATGTAAGATTCTGTCAGTGTACTTGGGTCTAGGGAGTGTACCCTAGTGCTTCCTGTTGTTTCATTTGCCGCCTTTGTCTTCTAAATCATAGCTTTGTGTGAGCACATGGAGGTCAGAGCTTAACCTCAGTGTTAGTCCTCAGGTGCCCACCTTGTTTTTTATTTTTATATTTATTTATGTGTGTGTATTTTTGTTTATTTTTGAGAAGGGGTATGTCTCTGGCCTGGAACTAGACTGGCTGGCCATGAAACCCCAGAGATCTGCCTGATTCCGTCTGCACAGTGCAGGGATTGCAAGTGGCCACTGTTGTGATTGACCCCTCCCCTACTATCATTAGTTTTTAAACTCAGTTTTTCAAATCCCTAGAGCGCTAATGCTTTATAAAGCCTTGCCCAGCACAGAAAGGAATTGTTTACATGCTAATCTGCCTGTGGATTCTTCTACTAGGACTGCTATAGAGCGTAGAGAATGTGTTCAGTAATTATTTGAGGGAATTACTGCATTATGAGTATGGTTATTTCCTTCATTTTTCCATCATTGACTTAAAGAAATATGAAGGCAATTTTTTTTGAATTGAATTTATAGCCAGGGTCTGTATCTCAGTAAAATGAGGTAAGTCATCTGTGTACTAAAAGTGCCTGCATCGGGATGAGTTTCAAGGCTGCATGAGGCGTAAAACATTTTCCTTGAGGGGCTGTTTTTGATTAGGTTGGCAGTGAGGCATACCTATGAGGGCATTGTCTTGATTATGCTAATTGAAGTTGGAAGCCATGCCCACTGAGAGTGGCATCATTCCCTTGGCAGTGGGTCCTTTAAGGAATGAATTTTTGAAAATTATAACTGACAGTTAAGACCCATGAAAGGCAAAGTAGTATGTCTTTGTAATAGACTTTCTACCTTTCTCCAGAAGTGCCAATAGCATAATAGCCTCAGAGTAGAGACTATGAATACTTGGGTATGGTGGTCCACAATCACCTGGGGAAGAAGTCTCAAGGATGGATTGTTTAAATTGGGTTTGGCATGTAAGCATGTCCATGGGGACATTGTCTTGATTATGTAAATTAATGTGGGAGGAAGCACTCACAACGGGTGACACCATTCCCCTGGAGGGAATCTTAGGTTGTCTGAGAGTGGAGAAAGTAAGCTGAGCACCTACTGTGTGTTGATTAGTGTTGGCTCTTGACTGGATGTAATGTGACTAGCTGCTTCAAATTCCTAGAGATCTGATTTCCCCAAAATGGTGGGTTGTAAGGTAAAATTGTGAACTCTTTCCCCTGAAAGTTGCTGTTGTCAGGCGTATTATCACAGCAGTGAGAAGAGGAACTGAGACATTCGGTGAATCTTTGTTATTATTTAGGGAATGACGAATCAGCAGAAAAGTGACAAACTCAGTTGGTATGAGAGGGTGATATAGGTGTAGGAGATGGTCAGGAAAGAAGGATCTGGAGTTTAAGTGGTAAGCAGTGTTTAATTTGCTCTTTTCCATTTTCAAGAAAATGAGGGTCAGGCAGCCATGAAGTCTTGGATTTAAAATTAGTGTGATCATTCTTTTACCCAGCAGACAATTTAGTAAGTTCTCTGTGCTAATTACTGAGACAGCAAAATTGGAAAAGTTTAATTCACCTCGGCAAATCTGGTGCCAAACAGTGACTGGCATTCAATAAATACTTGCTGATTTTAATTGATACTTACAGTTAGATGCACCAGAGGAAAAAAGGTCAAACTTTCTCTTAGTTGGCAGTGACAGTAGGACTGTATTAATTCTGTAATGTTGTACAATGCTTTTCATTACATGTGGATACTGATTAATAGTCGCTGGACTTACTAGATTGGCTTTCCAATCTAAATTCAACAGGAATGGGTCTCTATGACTATGAAGAGGGGCACCATGGATTCACAAAATACATATGTCTGTTCAGAAATAACTTGTTTTTATTGATTCTTTGTGAGTTTCACATCATGGACCCCAGTCCTGCTCATCTCCCCATCCCCTCATATCTGCCCTTTGCCCGTGCAACCCCTGCTAAAAACAAAACAACAAATACACACAGACACAAACATAAACAAACAAAACAAAACAAAAAGACAAGGCATCGGAAACATCTCATGATGGAAGCTGTAATGTGGCACAGTGTGTCTCACAGTACATGCCTCTGTCCACACATCTGTACTTGCAGAGGCTCATTGCAGCAAGTCACTGGTCTGGTTCGAGATCTCTGGCTTCTGTGACACCATCAGTATTGGATCCTCACCGGGACTTCTCCCAGTTATTCTGTTGTTGTCCTGTGTCGTGGAGATCCTGCAGCTGGGGATCAGCTGCCCCTTTTTTGCTTCCTACCTGTTAGCAGATGATACAGATGTTGTGATGGGCCAACTCAAAGTCCTGGATCTGGGCCTGGGTGGTAGCTGACCTGGTCAGCCCACTGGCTCTCCCTTATCCATGCTATCAGGGTAAGCTCTCCAGCACTGCTTGGGCTAGGCCACCCAATGCAGTTAGCATCGGCAGGAGGCAAGGTCACCTCTTGCTCTCATGCCCTTGGAAGCGGCTCCACTGTGCCATCCAGTCCTGGTGCAGGGCCCAATCTCCTATGTGCTGCAGCCTGAAAGGGGCTGGGACAGCTTTCCTGCTCTCACACCTCCGGGCTGTCTTACCTGTTCCTTTGTCATCAGGGCCAGCTCCACTGTGTTGCCCAGAAGTATAGGATCCCTCTCTCCCAGTTCTACAGCCAGTGAAGGGGCAGAACTAGCTCTCCTGCCCTCATGCCCTTGGGCGCCAGCCCTCCTGACTACCTACCACAGGTGCCAAGGAAGGAAGGGAGGGGAGGAGAGCATCACTCCCAAGCCCATGCTACCTCAGCAGTGGCAGGGCCACTTCTCCCTTGCTCTCGCCCTCTGGCCAGCTCACCTGCACCGCCAGGTCAGCTCTACTGAGCTGCTCAGGCGAGGTACAGGGCCGGCTCTCTCAAGTGCTGCAGCTGGTGAGAGCAGATAACTTTGGTAGAGTTTTAGATGAGATGGAAAATCAAATTTTCTGCCAACAGCCATATAGATAATATTATGCTCAGAAATTGTATTATAAACCTTTTTATTTTGAGGCTAGATGGCTGAGCAGGTACTTACTATATAAGCCTGGCAACCCTAGTCTGGTTCCCAGAACCCATGGAAAGGTAGAAAGAAAACCAACTCCACAGAGTTGCCCTTTGACTTCTACACATGTGCCTTGACATGTGCACTCATTATGCATGCTCACACACAACAATAACAATAGTAATAATTACATTTGAAATTTTTATTTTGAGATGATTTCAGCTTTCTGAAAACATAAAATTAGAGCAAAAATTCTTCTCCGTGTTAGCATTTTGTATACAGAGTACAGTGATCAAAAAAGGAAAGTTAACTATGTTTCTGCAAACAGATTGACTGAGATTTTATCACTTACTGATACCTTTATTTTCTGTATCTAGGACCATGCATATTTGGTCATTAAGCTGCCTCCTTGTCCTTTTTTTGGAATAGGCAATGAGCTTCACAACCTTGATGCTTTTGAAACTTGTCAGTTATATTACAAACTGTCCATCTCCTCTTTCCTAGCGCCTTTCCACCAAAAATACCAAAGTAACTTTGTGTCCTTGTACATCGTGATAAGAGGCAGATGATATGGGTGTCTAATTGTAGTTGATATTAATCTTTGTCCCTTGTTCGAGCATCTACCTGGTTTCTTTTGCTTCCAGGTTAGTGAGCATTCTGTACAGAGACTTTGAGACTATTTAGATACCTGTTTCTTATCAGTTCCACACCCTTTAGGCATTTTTCTTGACAGTTATTTGTATTGTTTTTACCCAATAATGAGCCTGTCTCATTTATGATTTCTTCTAAAGTCACTAATCTTATTTCTACTGCAAAGAAAAGCTTTTTACTGAGCTGGAGAGATGGCCCAATGTTCTATCAGAGGACCTAGTTCCCAGCACCCACATGGCAGCTCACAGCTGTCTATAACTCCAGTCCCAGAAGGGCCAACGTTGTCCTCTGGCCTCCATGGGCAGCAGGCACATATGTGGTACACAAACACTTGTGCAGGCAAAGTACTCACAGATAAGAGAAAATAATTTTAAGGTTTTTTAAAATTAAATTTTTATTTTTATATTAGTTACAGTTTATTTAACAATTTTAAGTTTTATTAGCTAGGAGTGGTGGTCTATATAACAAGCAGCTCTATATGTTGAGACCTTTCTCAAAAAACATTTTTTTTTTCTTTTTTCCATTAACAAAAAATTCAGCTGTTTGTGTGATTAGGGTCTCTGGATATTTTATTCTCCAGGTTGCCTTCTATGCTCTTGTGACATGTGTCATTTTTTTTTTTTTTTCTGGCTCCTTTCTGTAGCCACAATATATTATAAACTCACCTGGATATGTTTCCTTTCAATGTCCATTTGCATTTTTAATTATTTTTTGCATTTTTAGGTATGAGGACATATGGGCTGCACTTCACAGAAGAGCGAAGGAGTGTGCGGACGCTGGCGAGGTAGAGTTTGCTGATCTTGCCCTTTTCAAGGCTAAGTGCAGGTCCGGCCCCAGTAAAAGAGTTGTTGGGTTTGTTTGCTTTCAATATTGAGAAAAAAGGTTGCACTGACTTACTGTACAGCAGTGAGCTCTGGTCCTGTGTACAACTGAAGACTCATTAGTCATGGTGTAGTGTAAAAGGCTGATAGGAAGATTAGGAACCATTTTCAATTGTAAAACCCATGAATGTACACATGTGTATATTGTGAACTCTTATTTAAGCATGTACTGGATAAGAGTGAAGGGAACTCCAAAGGGGAAGAGGAGGAGGAGCTGAAGTCACATGGTTATAAACAAAGCAGGAGGCTTCATTTGTTGTTTGACCTTTGAAGTGGCTGCATTCCTTGTGAATGGTTAAACTAGGGAAGGAAGAGGGAAGCCTGACAGTCCTTGGAATAGTTGGTAAAACTTTTTTCTGGGGATTTGTTACTGTTTTGTCTTCACATAGTGTAGGGTTCTGAGTTATGGTTCCTGTATGCACACATAACCCCTAAGTTAAGAAATGAAAGTTACTTGTATATTTTGACAACCATCAAATCCTCCATGGATCAGTTTGCACCGAGGTCCCTCAGATTCTCACAGATTAATTATACTCTTTCCTCCTCCTCAAAAATAATATAAGCTATTCTAAGTTTGAGTCACAAGAAGCAAAGATAACCTCTGAGGCCGGCTTGAAAAATAATACCCAGCTTCAAGGATGAAAATTTAACCCAGCTGTCATGATGGACACTTGTCATCCCAGCATTTGAGAGGCTGAAGCAGGAGGATTGCTCTAATCTTGAGTTCAGCCTTAGCCACACAGAGAGTTCCAGGCTAGCCTGGGCTATACAATTTAAGACTGTCTCAGAAACATAAAAACAAACCAAAAACCCAAAACAAACAAATAACCCCTCTTGGTAATATGTCCTTGAAACTTACAAATGTGTAAATGAATGTCTTTTTTTTTTTTTTTTTTTTTTTTTACTATTGTTCCACTTGTGTTTATGTTGTTAAGTCTGTTCCTGACAAAACAACAGCTTTTTGTCAGGAACATCACTCTCCAAGGGAGGGCAGATGTAAGTGTATGGGCTGTTTTGTCTTGTTCAAGAAAGTTTCCTACACTTATTTCTAGAGCACATTCTTTAAAAAATGTTGTTAGTTTATGTATGTAGGTGTTTTGCCTGCATGTATGTGTGTGCACTCCATTTATGCCTGGTGCTATAAAGGCCAGAAAAAGGTTTCTCTGGAACTGGAGTTAATTTGTGAGCCACCATGTGGGTGCTGGGACTCAAACCCAGCTCCACTAGAATAGCAGCCAGTGCCCTTAACTGCTGAGCCATCTTTCTAGCCCCTAGAGCATATTGTTAAAATATGGTCTTAGAATTCAGAGCTGTGTCTTATATTAAAAAAAACAATTACCAAACCAACCAACCAAACAAACAAAAACCCAGCTATGGTCAGTGCTGATTTGATTGTTTAAAAGATTTGTCTAAGCAGTTGTTGTGTTTTCCCCCTCCGTCCTCAACAATCTATAGATGAAACCCTTAAAGTTATTTAAGGGCTTGGTAGCCATGGTAGTTTTCCGAAGCTAGGCTTCTAGTGTTTTTGTTTTTAATTCCTGCTATAGTGAAATAGTTTCTTGCCTTCAGATAGAACTCTCAAAATTCATGGTTTTATTGAGCGGTTTGATGTGTTAAGTAAGCTGAGTAAGACTTCACTTCTCTGCTCAAGGAACATTTTCTGGGCTGAGGTGGAGGTTAGAAATTCTTTTTTCTCAACTTTGAGGCACTAATCTTGATTTTATACAAACAACCTGATCTCTGTCTTTTCTTTACCCATAAAATGGTGTCAAGCACCACTTAACTTTGCTTAACAAACTTGTTTAGACAAACTGAACTGTGGAGTTTTATGCTATGTTAATTAGTTTCATTGCTCTGACAAAATACTTGAGCTAATCAATTTAGTAAACAAAAGGTTTTATTTTGGCTTATACTTTTGCTTTATGGTCTCTTGGCCCTTTCACTGTTAGGCCTGTAGTGAGTGTGTCATGTTGGGGAGCATTTAGTGGGGAAACTGTCTTCATTTCATTGTAGCCCAGGAGTAAATGACCCAGAGGAGACTAGGATCCCAAAATCCTTTGAAAGACATGCCCAGGGTGATTTAGCTTTCTCATGCTCAGCCCCACTTAATAAATGTTCCACTGTCTCCCAAGTACTCCACATAAGCTATCAGCTTGCAAGCCTTTAAGGGACATACAAGATGCAATTTAAATAAGATAATATAGCTAAGTTACTTAACACAGAATCTGACCTGTAGCAAATGTTCAAAAATGTGTTAGTATAGTATCTGAAAGTTGGTCAACCTTTCCTTTTCTTAGATTAAAATACTTTAGTACATTATGCTATATTCTTTCTACACATAAAATTTACATTCTTTATGCAGAATAAAATTTTTAGTTTTGTGTAAAGTGTGAATTAATAAACCATTTTTAAGCCTTAACATCTAAATATATTGTACTTTAATTTTTGATAAGAAGTAGTCATTACCTAAACCTTACATTAGACTTTTCAAGTTATCTAATAAGCCAGGGTAAAATTTATAATGCCTTTTAAAAAGATTATGCCATGTACCAGACAAAATATTTTCAAGTCAGCAAATTACCAGTAAGTCATTTCTCTGTTTTGTTTATTTTGTTGTTGTTGTTTTTACTGAGTTTTTGTTTGTTGTCTTATTTTTTCCTAGGTGTGAATTTTCCAATGAACAGTTTCCTTACAAGCAGAGTATACTAGAAGTAATCAGCTCATTTTGAAACTTTTCTTTTCTGGGTTAAGAGGTCTGATACAACAGCAGTTTAAGGTTTGCTGTACAGAATACTGAGTTCTTCTTTCGTGAGGAAAAAAGAAAACAAAGAAATGATGGTGTCTTGAGTGTCATCTACCATCTGCAGACCATGTAGGGTTGCTGAAGACAGACTGGCTGGGCCCAGCCCGCTCACTGTAACCTTGTGCTCTGTATTGCAGCTGGTGGGCAGCGAAGTGGTCATGCTCTCTGCCCACTGGGAGAAGAAGAGGACCAGCCTGAGCGAGCTGCAGGAGCAGCTGCAGCAGCTGCCAGCTCTCCTCCAGGACTTGGAGTCTTTGATGGCAAGCCTGGGTAAGTGGGATGTGTGAGTGAAAGCAGTTTCAGCAGGGTGTGCTGTCAAGTCAAAGCTTTCTAAGGATTCAACCAAATTCTTAGCTAACACTTTCAGAAACAATTGTGCATTCTTATTGGCATAGTTTGATTATATAGAAAATATATAGAAATTTGTTTCTAAAATTTACCACTAATGCTTTCTGCCTACGGTCAACTAAGGAAACATAATTTTAATTTTGTTGATTTGTGTGTTTGTGTGTGTGTGTCTCTGTGTGTCCGTCCATCCATCTGCTCTCCCATGCCTGCATTCATGTGTTTGAGTGTGGGTATACATGCTGTGGTGTGCATATGGAGGTCAGAGGACAGCCTGGAGCGTCACTTTCCACTTTTTTTCTTGTTTGAGGAGGGTCTCTGTTACTTGCTGTTGTATGTGTCAGACTAGCTGGCCTCAGGTGATTCACTAGTCTCTACTGCTCATTTTCCTGTAGCAGTACTGGGATTACAGATGTATGCTACAGTGTTTGGCTGTTTAAAATGGGTTCTAGAGATCAGAACGTAGGTTCTGAACATAGAAAGCTCTATCCAATGACTGTCTTCTCACCCCAACTTTGACTTTTTTTTTTTTCCTGGCTTTATTAGATACAATACTTTAGCCACTAATTTTCTCCATTTTCCAGGCTTCTTGCATCTTTTGGTCTTGTATTGTTTTCTGGAAAACCTGCCTTATAACTGTAAGGTATTTCTATTGTGTGAGCAATTTAAGACCTTAATGATGCTTTTCACTGTACTATCCTATAGCTTAATAAATAGCAGTCTCAGAAACCTAGCCCCTCGGGAATTGTTAAGTAGCAAAGACTGATCCACTCATATTGATTTTTTTTTTTTTAAATGGGATGTGGTCCATCTAGCTTACAAATGCCTGTTTAATTGATAGTTGCTAGTAAGATTGCAATTTAGGAAATAAATGACAAACGTGTGCTGGAAAGTGAAAAACAGTGAATATGAACTCTCATCTCTGACACTCTCTCTCTGTTGGTTTCTTAAATACTCCTTGCTTCAGTCTCTGTCTGAAAATGAGGATCAGAATAAAGTTGGGTCTTTGTGTTCGTGGGTTCTGCATCTGTAGATTCAGCCAACTATACATAGAAAATATTTATTTAAAACTGTTCACATTAGACACATATACAGGTCTTTTTATTCTTATCATTTTTTAAATACTACAGTATAGGTATTCACATAATCCTGTCTCCATTGTATTAGATATTTTAAATAATAGAGAGGTAATATTAAAGGATGAGTAAGTTGTATGCAAATAACTGACATTTTATGTAAGAGACTTGAGCACTCAGTGATTTTGACAGCCACGGCTGTGGGAACCAGTACTCCAGGGATCCTAAGGGCCGACTGTGCCTGCTTGCCAAGGTTGTTGGGAGATTAACTGAGATGACAAATGTCAGATCACTTAGCACAGTGCCTGGGTCGTACCTCCCAGTGCTCTGGGCCAGGGATTATTTCTGTGCTTTGGAACAAGTCTGAGTGTGTGCCATGAGGATACTGACATTCTACTAGAAGTTTGTCTGGCTTGGCAAATTTACAAAATCAGGTTTTTTTTTTGTTTTTGTAACAGAGGATGTATCCATTAAACGCTGGAAGATGAGGGCTGGGATGTAGTTTTGTTGGTGAAGTGCTTAACTAGTATGCAGGAAGCCCAAGGTTTGAGCCACTGGCTAGCCTGAGTCAGCAGTGGCGGTGCGCAGTATAATCCCAGCTCTTGGGAAGGAGAGGAGGAGTCCAGGTTCACAGTCATCGTCCTCTATACAGCATGCTCATCAAGGCTAGCCTTTGTTGCCCAAGACTCTCTGAAAAGATTGACCTGAAGGTGGCGGGGTAAAAAATGTAGTCTTTGACTGAAAAATGTCCAAGGATAAAACAAAGTTCTGATGAGTTCAAATCGTCACCGTAGATCTCTTTTAATCAAAAAACTAGGAAAGAGGAATTTGAAGTGTTGTGTTACTGTTGCTAGGCATGGTGTTTTACGCCTGTGACCCCAGTATTTGGGAGGCTGGGGAGTAGTGCCTTGAGATGCAGGCAGCTGGGGCATAGGGGCTAAGTTTCAGTTCAGTGTGGTCTAGTGAAAAAGAAAGAAAGAAAGAAAGAAAGAAAGAAAGAAAGAAAGAAAGAAAAAGAGTTCTCTTGAATTTCCACTAGAGGGCAGTATAACTCTGTTTCTTTATCAAATTTAAACTGTCATGGTCTTGTCTTTCTGTTTTTTCTATTACTTAATTTTGTGTGATCTGTTTTAAAAGATTGCTCCTTTGTCTAGAACAGAATATTCCACTAATTCTAAGACAAGGAACAGCCATATATGGAGTTTCTGTGTTGCATTTGGTGGGCCCTGTGTCACTGTGTTGCTTTCTCTGTGCAGAATGTGAAGACATTAGCAGGGACTCATATCTGTTTCATAAGCTAGATCATATTGTCCAAGTTACTTCCTAACATTAGTTCCTTCACAAGTACACTAACTCTCTTGATACCTTTTCAGTCTGCTGTGAGAATCTCACTTGTTCAATGATAGCTTTTGCAGGTTAATGTACCTTTTAAAGATTCCTTATTAGCATATCATCATCACCTTATTGTACATAAAAGTATGGCACAAGCATTTGAAGAACCTTCCATCTTTTAGCGCCTGGCTGCTATGACCTATGAGTATGCAGACAAAGAAAATATCTTTGTTCTGTGAGGCTAATTATTTTGATTAGAAAGAAACTCATTAAATTTGAAATAACTTTACTATGCTACTTAATTCTTCATGTATCACGCCTGTACTACAGATTATATCTCCTTGAAACAAATGGCACAAAGGAAAATTCCAAGCTGAATCGCTCTCCTCTGGGGTGATCTTCTCTCCCAGATTGGTGGCACTCTTTCTTGCATAGCTGTCAGGTGTTCCCAAATGGCTTTCACAGTAAAATTCCCAATCTTCTCCCCCAGTACCTTAAAGAGACAGCGCTGTTACAGTGAGCAAAGAGGTGAGGCTTGACTCCCTTGCAAGGATGTATTTGGTCCATGGAGGCCTGCTCGTGGTTTATGAGTATGCATCCTAAGTTAGTTATGAATTGACTTATTTGTGTAACTGGTTTTGTAACAGGAGATGAACAGGTTGTGTTAGAATAGTTAAATTTCTGCCAATTTAAAAGAAGTGTTTGGAATGCATATCATGTATATACTTAGGATAATTTAATTAAAAAAGATAAAAACTTAATATGTTTTTTCTATTATTTTATTACTGATTTCAAGTTTGGTAAGAGTGGCAATGCAGAGTTGGGTATGGTGGCATCTCCTTGTGGTGGTAGTGTGTGAGGGGTGGAAGAAGAAGGGCTGGGAGTTCAGGATGAACCTGCACAGTGAATACAGAGACCTGGCCAACATGAGACCCTGTTGCAGTAGAACAAAGTGAAGAGCTGAAACAGAAAATCCCCATTGCTTTTTCTGCTTCAATTTAGGATCATGAAGTTTGATGTGACTAGTAAAGTAGCATCATATTACTAAACGTTTCTTAAGTCCTCTTTCATTTGGCATGAGTTCTTAATTTAGAGGAACGCACATCATAGATTTTTTTCCTGATTATTTTACATCATAGAAATAGAATTACCAGAACTTTATTGAATTGGCCAGACTACCTGAATTAGCTATTAGGCAGTACAAAGACACAAGGGTACAGTGTTTACCTTTAGACCTTAACTGATCTCCTGGGAGAGAAGCAAGGAAGCAATAGCTGTACAGTATCAATCAGTCAGATGAGAGTCTTCATGGAGCTCAGAAGTCTGTGAAAGCTGTCGTCGGGGCAGGGCTAGCGTGGAACCTGCTGTGACATTTACAGCAAGGGAAGAAGGGGGGGAGCAGAAGTGTCCCAGCTCCAGGTGGAAAGGAAGCAGGGCTCACAGGGCTCTTCTTGGATGGTCAGTGGACCTGTTCTGTTGTAAAGGAGAATGAGAATGACGGTGGTGGTAAGATTGCACCAGTAGACTGTACACAGAGGCTGTACCCGCATGAGAAGATTCAGGAGCCTTTCAAGCTTTTTAAAAGGGAGAACAAAGTAGCAGTTCAGTGGTGATTAACAGAGTGACCATTGACCACCACAGACAGATGTGGGCTGCATTTTCTGTTGTGTTGTTTGTTGATCTCTTTAGAAGGTTATTCTTTTTGTCTTTATGTGCATGGGCATTTTTGCCTACATGTGTGTCTAGTGCCCATGGAGGCCAGAGGAGGGTGTCAGATCCTTTGGAATTGGAGTAATTGATGTTTTGTGAGCCATCATGTGGGTGCTGGGAACCAGACTCTGTAGAAAGAACAGAAGGCTTTCTACAGAGAAAGGAACCGCTCTAGCCTGGATGTTCTTTTGTTACTGGGAGTTGGTATTGCCTGGCTCGTGTCATTAACAGTTTGAACTAGAATAGAATTCTTTCCACGTAAGTTAATTGGCTTGCCTAGGGTCAACTCGTGAAATGCCTGTGCTCATTAACTTGTAGTCAGCCAGCAGCACTGTAATCCAGAAGGAAATTGTCATCTCTGGTAGATAAAAATGAAATGTGTATTTTCTGATATTGAATAACTTTTGACTCTATTAAAAAAAAATCATTTGAAATTTATCTCCCCTCAGTCTAAGAACAGCCTGGGGTATAATTTATAGGTATATGAGTCTACTAGGAAAAAAGGAAATGCTCCTGATATTTTTATCAATTTATCCATAACATTCTTATCTAGAGCTCTTACTTATATCATGATCATTAATGGTCAACAGAATTTTCTTTTGTTCATTTTTGATCAGATTTTGTTTTGTTTGGTTTTTGGAGATAGGGTTTCTTTGTGTATCCTTGGCTTCCCTGGACTCGCTTTATAGACCGGGCTACCCTCAAACTCAGAGATCTGCCTGCCTCTGTCTCCCCAAGTGCTGGGACTGTGGGCGTGCACGTCTGTGTCTGGCTTCAGAGTTGGATTTCTAAGCTTGCTTCCTATAGTAAATTTTATTTTCTATTAATGTCCATAGCCTTTGGCCCTGACAAATAGAAAAGGATTTTTTTATAAGCTTAGTTGTTTAGAAAAGACAAAATTTAGGATATTAGAAAATGATTGTTTCTGGTTTAATAGATCCTTGGCTTACGTAAAGATAAAGAAGCGAAAATTTGTGTCTTAACTTAAAATTTCACATTGAAATTAGAGGAGTTTTCCTGTAACCCTGGGGCTCCAAAAGGTGGTTTAGAAAGTCTGTGAACATCTGGCAGATGGCTGATGGAAATGTGCCTAAGTAGTCGTCAGGTAGTGTGGCCACTTCTGCTCTACCTTCTGGAGCATCTCCAGTGTCCCTCAGAGAGAATTAGGCACAAGTGTGAGTGTCCCACACACGCTCACGTGTTTGAGCGTTTGGTTTCCTTTTGGCCCTGTTTTGGGAGGTTGTTGAACCTTTGGGACATGGCACATAGGTGGTGAACTATTCTCTTGGGCGTAGGCCTTTAAGTGTTTTTTCTCGGAAACATGCTTCTTTCTAATCTCCTGAGGTGTGACCTGACACAAACTCCCACCTTTTCACTGGCACTGGCCCAGCTTCTTAAATAGGGAGTCAAAAATAAAGCTCCCCTCCCTTACCTTATTTCTGTGAGGTTTTTGGTCACAACACTTACATATCAATTTCTTCCACCATAAACCTCCATCTTGGAGGGAAGATGGTTAAGACACAGGTTGTATTAAAGGTCAGTGAACTATCCCATCTTGCAAGGAAAGTTCTTTATTCTCAGGAAGTAAACACCACAGAGGCCTCAGGAAGTCCCTAAAATTGACTGGATACCTTAGCTCTTTCTCTCCTCAATTGTTTATAAAGAGTAAGGCCCAATTAGTGACACTCTGAGACCAGCTCAGTTGCGTGAAAAAGTTGCTCTGTAACCTCTTCCTGCCTTTAAACTGCAGTGCACTTTGGGCTTCCATCTTTGTGAACTGTGAACATGCTAGTGGGAACTTTGATGATATAGGTGTCTTTGAGACATTTCTGCTTCTGTTAGTAACACCTCACCCACACTCCTCTAAGTAACCCCAAAGAAACTTACTGACTTATCAAGTTGGACTTTGGTGGTATACTTACCTTAGCCTGTCATTAGTTTTTTATCTGGGGTGAGTAGATGTTTGTTAATGTCTTCATGGACTAGTGTGACAAAACAGCATTGAAAAAAGCAACCAAAAATAATTTAAAATGAATAATTTTGTTGACTTGTAAAATAGAATGTAAACAAGATCAGTTGATCTAATAAATCAAAGTGTCAATAACCTTCTAAAACCTTTCTGTTGTCAAGGAAAACAAGCAGTCCTCCTGTCTGTAGCTGAGCAGTTGTAGGGTAACAGTGACTCAGTATGGGACCACACCCCCATTTCTCTGCCTTTGGGCAGGACTTTGCATTAGTTTCTCAAGACTTTGTTCTTAAATAGTTTTTAAAAAAGAGATACTAATTTTTTATTGTGTGTGTGTACTATATCTGTATCTGTACATACAAACAGATATATATACTGATATACGTATAATGCACACACACAGGTGTTTTGCCCACATGTGTCTGTGCCATGTGCGTTGAAGAGGGTGGTGGATCCCTTGGGACTAGAGCTACATAGATTGTGAGCTGCCATGTGAGTGCTGGAGTTGAACCCTGGGTTCTCTGGATAGCAACCATTGCTCTTAATCTCTGAGCTATCTCTTTGGCCCCTGGTCTTCAATATTTGAGTGAAGGATTTAACTAAAGATGCTCTCCATATTCCAATAAAGTACAGAGTTTTGTGGTCATGAGACTGACTAGTGAAAGACTAGTTAACTGGCAAGAACTGAATACGCAGCAATAGAAACCCCAACTAAGACACAGTATAAGGTGAGCAACTCTAAGTAGATCAGTATTCCATGCATTCCCCACCTCCACCACCACCATTGACTGAGTTAATAACACCAGCTTACTCAGTGTTTATAGTATCCTCATGCAGAGGTTTAGGTCTGTGATGTGCCAGAGGTCAAACAGGTGTTGAAGTGACTTGGAGTTATAACTACTAAATTACAGTGGCATGATGCTAGCTGCAGTCGCTAACTTGCCATATATACAGACTTGTTCATTTGCTGGACGTAGTGGCACACATCGAGCTCAGTACTGAGAAGACAGGCAGGCCTGGTCCACATAGTGACTTTCAGGACAGCCAGAGCTACACAGTGAGACCCTGTCTCAAACAACAAATAAAAAGACTGGTTCATTTGTGGTATATGGGAGTCATAGAACATAAGATTACTTAGGATACTCCACATTCATCATCATAGTAATAAAGTATTTAAGATATTTTGAACATGGATGTCTTGAAAATGTTTGAAATATAGTCTTTAATTAAAGTGTGCTTTGATGTTGGTCAGTGTGTCTAATTTTGCCTAAAGTTTAATACGAAATATCAAGAAAATACAAAGCGGTCTTGATAGTTTAGACTTTTTAAAAAAGATACTGTTTATTTTATTATTTTTAATTATGTCTGTGTATGTCTGTGTGGTGGTATGTACACATGTTAGTGTAGGTGTGCCTATGGAAGACAGAAAAGGAAGTTGGAATTACAGCCAGTTGTAGGCCACCTAGTATGCGTACTGGGTCCTCTGGAAGAGCTGTTTGTGCTCTTAATTGCTGAGCCCTCTCTCCAACAACAATCTAAAAACTCTTGTCTTTTTGGCCAGTGATTTGGACTTGACAATTGTTTATTTCTTTTTTTATGTTATATACTTTCAGCTCATTTAGAGACGAGTTTTGAAGAGATAGAAAACCACCTGTTGCATCTGGAGGATTTGTGTGGGCAGTGTGAGTTAGAGAGACATAAACTGGCACAGTCCCAACACCTGGAGAATTACAAAAAAAGTAAGAGGTGAGTTCAAAACTTGGACCTCAACATTGTAATCTCAAAGTGTACCACATGTTGATTACATGCTCTTCTTTCTTTTTTTAATTTTTGCATTTGTTTGTTTACTCTCCCTCTGTGTGTGTGTTTGTGTGTGTGTCCCAGGACAGCTTGTAAGAGGTGTTTCTCTCCTATCATATAGATCCCACTGAACCATCTTCCTTCCCCTATTCTCCATATGTTTGGATGGTAAAGCACTCACTTACAGTGAACAGGTTAATTTGTGGTCAGCGTGATACAAGCTAGGGTCATCTCAGAAGAGGGACCATCAATTGAGAGAGTGTCGCTATCAGATTGCCCTGTGGACAAGTCTGTGGAGCATCTTCTTGATAAAGCAGTAATGGTTGCTGTCACCCCTAGGCTAGTGGTCCTAGGGTGTATAAGAAAGAAGACTGCACAAGGCATGGGGGGGACAATCCAGTAAGCAGTGGTTCTCCATGGCCTCTGCTTTAGTTCCTGCCTTGACTTCTCTTCATGATGGATGACTAGCTGAGATAAGCTTTTTCCTCCCCAAGTTGGTTTTGGTCTTTGTGTTTTATCTCAGCAATAGAAACCTCAACTAAGACACCGTATAAGGTGTGTAACTATAAATAGATTGGTATTCGTGCTTTCGTTATCACCACTATGGTTTTAGCCGCTTGCATACAAGAACTATATGAATATTGTGACTTTTTTCCATCAATACAGGTTGAAATTTGATCGTTAAAAAAAAAAAAGTGACCCTTTCAGTAACAAGTTAAATGATTAGATAAAAAAGGAAGCCTGCTGCCTGGAGCTGGGAAATTTGACCCATGCTCTTTACCAGTGACTTACATAACCAACTTAATGCATTAAGATACATGCCATGAAATCAAAGTGTGGGAATGTCTAAATGTACTGAATAATTCTTAGTGTCTTTCGGGTTGTTGAAATAATAGAGTCTGTCTGTTCAGAGACAGAACTTAGTCGAAACTTCTAGCTCCCTCCTCCTGGTTAGCTGATTCCTAACTGTGTCCTTGGCCACCAGCCTTTTACTTTACATCTTGATCGCTTATAAAATTCTTAGTCTAGAATCTTCTTGATAATATTAATAAGGACTTCTAGAAATAACATTGTTACTGAATTTAGATAGGATAGATTTTTAATAATACCGATTTTTCTGTACTGGATAAGAAAGATGGTACATACCTGGTGGTGGTGCACACTTCAATCCCATAATTCAGAAGGCAGGGCAGGCAGATCTGTGAGTTTCAGGCCGGCCTGTGTGCAGGGCAAATTCCAGGACAGCCAGGGCCACCCAGAAAAACCTTGTCTCAAAGAGATCCAGACAGAAACACGGGGGTGGGGGGGGAAAGGGAGGAAGGAAGGAAGGAAGGAAGGAAGGAAGGAAGGAAGGAAGGAAGGAAGGAAATGAAAAGAGATATGGTATATGGTTTGAAGACACCAGTTTATAATCTACAGAAAACATGAAACAGCTTGGCAAGGCTAAATTTTAAAACTTTGTATTTCTCAAGGAAGGCACGATACTAATTTAGAGTGTCATGACACTGGCACATTTAAAGGGTGAGAAATTTAAATTGACCAGTACTTTGGTTAGACTGTTAAAGACTTCATCTGCAAAATATATATATAGGTAGATACTTGTTGATACTCAAGACATCTGCATACAGTATTGGGAAATGTCAAAGCATTTATACCAGTCTAGTAAAGCACTTGCTTTATTATTTAAATTGAGGTCATATTTTTATTCTGAAGTGATGACTACTGATTTAATTCACAGTTATAACAGAAATGAAGTTGATTCTGCTGCTGTACATAGTGGAACTCAGGAAGCAGAGGCAAGAAGATTAGCAGCTCAAGGCCAACCTAGGCACAGGAATCCCTGTCTCAGAAAGAAAATTATAATACAATTTGAGTGATTGAGAATGTCATTAGATACCTGACCCTGGTTTTCTTCCCCTCTTTTTCTACTCTTTGACTTTTTGCAAATACCTTATCATCAACATCGTTAGCTGTAAAATAGAGGTAATGAGAATTTCTGGCAAGGTTATTGAAGAAAAGAGACAATTTGTCTTGTTTTGTTTTTGTATTTTTGTTTGTTTTCAAAGGGCCAAATAAGAGTAAGCCTGCTTATCAACTGCAGTCATTCTGAAATGTTCAGGTGAACACCTCTTTGAAACTTTTTAGAAGCGAATCAGCCTGATTTGCTTTATATATTTATATGACTCCTTAACAATAGTGTAAATCATTTTGGTACAACACAGACAGAATTGAACCTTTTTTTTTTTTCCAGACAAATCCAGACTTCTTATTCATGGAAAACACACTAAAGTTATAAGGAAGTTAGTTATTGTAACTCAGAAGAGCAAGAAGGTAAAGGAGAAAGCAGCAGGAAGCAGAGATAACATCAGTGTTCAGAAGGTGCAAGAGCACCATGCTGACTGATCACTGAACAGGTCTAAGCTGGGTGAGACGTGATGACAGTCACTGAACATGTCTAAGCTGGGTGAGATGAGGGCCTAAGGAGCACTCAGACATTGAAGCATGCTGCTCAGAACTCTGGAAAGGCTCAGTAACCGGGAAAGAGAATGTGAGCTGAGAGCAGGAACTTTGGGTGAGAGGACAGAGAATGTGATCCTTGCTTGAGTCTGCAGGGCCCAGCAAGTACCTGACAAAGTGAGTTCAGGAAGACCCATCTCGTGCTACACTATAGAGAAGGACATGAAGCACTTCAGAGAGGTTTTGTATTTAGGTTCATGAATCTGAAAGACTTGTTACTTAGCAGCACTGGAACTAAGTAATTATTTCTGGGCTAACAAAGATGATAGCTGCAAAGATAGTTGGCACAAAGCCAGGACTGTGTGAATTCATATCCACTTACATCTGCATTCTCTAGGGAGCCAGGATGGAAGGAGTTTCAGTTAGCAATGCTCTGTAGAGTTGAGGAAGGTGCACCCTGGCCTGCCCATTCTAATCAGTGACTGTTCAGAGGTGCTGCCCAAGCTCCTGATATGCTGTGCATTTGCCCAAGAGAAGAATGTGCCTCTGACATTATGAGTGCTGATGAGGGAACCAGAGCCCTGTTCGAAGTGGCAAAACTTGAAGTCTCTCCACTGAGAGCTGTGAACAAGACCACTAGAACCTGGGCTCTACTGGACTGAAAACAGTGTGGGGAAGTTTGCTCCTCTCTTCCTTATATAGCTTATGCTGAAATGAATACATAAGCAAGCAAACAAATAAATGAAATTTAAAAGGAAGAAGGAAGAGGAGGAAAGAAATGATTTTGTCTTAGAATATGGATATTTACTTAGCAAAATATTTATCAGAGATGAGGAAATAAAATCATTTCCAGGCATAGAAGAACTCTGGGTTGGATCACATGTACGCTTTGTCAAGAAATTACTGGAGGATATAGTCCATACACTGTTCAGGAGGGAGGAAGGAGGAAGCGTCCAGGGTAATGGTTGACCTGAAATCCAGAGGGTATTGCAGAGTGAATCCAGTATTCACCAAGAGCAGTGCTTCCAGAGGAAGTGGAGTGAGCAGGTGATGGGCCTGACTGTGTGGAGCAGGGTTTATAAGCTGTGGCAGAGAAGTTGACGCTGAGTTCATTCAGATAGGTTGGTTGGCTTTCTTTTTTTCAAGAGAGCAAGGCAAATATTAACTCAAGGGAAAATAGAATTTTCAGGACAGGACAGCTCAGTTATAATATTGTGATCCTTAAATGCAGAATCATGATAAAGCTTTTGGGGGAGCTGGACACAAGGGAACATTTTTTGTATCAAAGGGTAGTATAGGGGTCTCAAGACAAGTTCTTATGTTGTACAAGAGTAATGATTAAAATAGAAAAAAGAACTTCACTTTTGGTATATTATTTATAAATAATCCAGTGCTAGAAATAATAGAATTGAATGTGATTGCTTGCGAAGCTGGATGGAAAGGTAGAATGAGCTGTAGCTGGGGACCAGTTTGTGTTGTAAATTAAACCCTCACAAGTGATGTTTGACTTAAGGAATGTACCTGTACTATAAATACACAAATCAAATTTAAAATTTTCTTACTAGCTGCAACATTCCCAGAAGGGTTTTACGTGAGAAGGTACTGATCAAACATTCTGTGATCAAATGCATTACAGAAACACTTATTTGCCTTACATGTCCGTGTATTAAAGGCTCTGAGAATTCCTGGAGGAAAGGCATTTGTTTGACTCAGTGTTTCATAACTTTCTCCTTTATAGAACCAATTTGCATATAATACATATCAAATAGGTACCTTAGTATTCTGTATAACACTAAAAAATTTAAAATATTGATAGCAAGAAATGAGCTTGGGGCTGGGGGAGAGTGTTCAGTGGGTGGTGATATGTTTGTCTTGTAAGCACACTGACCTGAGTTCTAACCCACAGCCCACGTGAAAAACCAGACTTGGTAGCACATGCTTGGCATGTTGGAGAAACAGAAAATAGAGAGGATCCTTAAAGCTTGTTGAGCAGCCAAGCCTGTTTGATTAGCTCCAGGCCAATGAGAGATCCTGCTTCCAAAAAAAATTAAAAGGGGGGAAAAAGTTAGTGGTGCCTTTCTGCTTCTCAAATGATGAGTTCTTAAAAAAAAATAACCTACCTCTTTGACAAAATGATGTTCAGATAAACAAGTGATTTTCCTTTTTTTGCTTTGGTACAAGATGTTGGGTACATGGCATATGTGTATGGTGCGCTACAGATGAAAGTCTAACCTGCAGGGGTGTCCTACTGCAGGGGTCCTACCTTTAACACTGTGATGTTACCCGTAAAAGTCATGTTTGACATGCACATATTTCAATTAGCCAAATCAAAACAAAACAAATCTCAGGGTTAATAGTTGATGAGCTTTTGTTGGCCTGAATTCATGGCTGTCTTGCTCCAGGTTAGCCTGGCTTATACATTTCCTGAAAATTTAGTCTAGACAGCTGAATAGGGTTGGGAGGTGAGAGGAGAGAGATGGTTGCTCACA